GTGCATTACCGTGCAAATATCATGTACGTTGTTACAATCAATGAAGTATACGCGAAAAGAACGCACGCTGCTAATATGGAGCCAGGCCGCAGCCGGCCATTGCGGTTTGTGCAATGCAGGATGCACTAATATGGTTCCGCGGGCTCCGATAGAAAGCGAGATACATACGTTATGAGACTGTATGTCGGTCCCTTTGCGTACGCACTGCCTCGCCAAAAATCCGCGTCGATTCCTCGAAAAATTTCTTTTCTCAATTGCGTCGTACGAGACGCAGTTTATTCGTCAGGGTTCGCCGAAATATAATTGAAACGCGTTATTTTCTCCGTTCTCATAGTATATAAAATTAATATCTGAAAGAGATTAAATTGTATACGTATTTATAAATTAAAAAATTATTTATTTATAATAAAAGCCTAATATCATTTAAAATTAAAATTATTTTTTGCAGGGTAGAATATAATTAACAAGGAGATTCAATGCTTATTAAATTTTTTTAAATTAAAATTGTAATATTAAAAATTATACATTTATATTAAATATGTATTTCAACATGTTCAATTATTCTTTACTTATAACTAGAATTTTTTAAACAATTTTGCATTTTTAAAATTAGAATAATTAATTGTGGAATACTTTCTGAAGATACTAGTATTTTTTTTTGTCTAATTGTAATTTAGAACAGATACGAACAATACCAAGAATTAATGATCAAACGAGACGATTCTCTCGATGCTAGAAAAGCAGGTAAAGGTTTCTTGCGTGCGAGCATTCCTCCGAACAATGAAAGATAAGAAATAAAAAAAAAACGCGCATGAAATAGATCGAATGCATTCTGGTTCGACAAGTAGAAGGCCGTTCGAAGTGGTTTACTCAACCGTATCTGCAGTTTGTTATCGCCTCGACCTTAGGGCGCCTCAAAACCTGAATCAGGGCAGACCGTAACTTAAGTGTTTTCTTAAAACGTATGGCCACCTCTTTTTCGGCGTACTCCGATATTCACGTCAAGATGAAATTGGAGCCACTGACCGCGGGTGTTATTTTTCCCGGGGGGAAGATCGAAAGATAAACATTCAACTCCGTCCAGACTTCAGTTTCACGCGTCGAATAAAGTTTTTCTTCGTTCGTACAAGTGTAAATCGTGCATGAACGAATTGATATCGATGTAATTTCTTTCTGTGTTTATTCTGTGGTAATAAGATTAATTTAAAAGTAAACACAAAAGCATTTACCATTCGTTAAATCCAATAATTTTCTTCTTTAAAGTTTATTGCTTTAATTTAAAAATAAATAAATAAATGTATACAATATAAAATATATTATATGCGAATTTTTAAAATTATAATAAAATTTATCGAGAGATGTCAACATTTTCGTAAGAAGAAAGAAAAAACGACATATCTATAAGATTATGATTTTCGAAAATAGCTTCTTAGTATTTAAGATATTCTTAAAACTCAATAGCTTATCTGGATGCTTATCACAGCTTCTCATTTATAAAAACGATAAAATACAAATTGTCGCGAATTGAAATATAAGTGGTATAAAAGATTAATCTCCGTTTTACGGGGAAATAAATCGGGCGCCACATAAACTCGATGGAGCTTTCATGTACGCGTTATGATCTTTTATGAAACCATAATGCTCGCTACGAATTCAACGAGATACGACCATTACGAGTGATTCCACTCCTTTTAGATCATCCTTCTCTCCTTTTCTTTTAAGGCGCCACGATATCCTCTCCGGCTTTTCCATCTCCTTCTCGATTAATTCGCATTTCGCTCGGCAGAATCGTAAATCGTGAAACCGGCTTAATGAACGGTGGACAACGACTCGTGAAACGCTTCGGAGATGTTAAGGCTCATCCAAACGCGGCGATTGTAATTGGCAGACGGAGGGAAGGGAAAGTCGAAAGTTCGCAGTGTCATTAAACGGCACTCGCGGGCGTAATTATTGTTAATCACGAAAGTACAGAGATATATGTGATTAAACCACGTTATATCTAAGTGTCTTTAAATATTGTATTTATGCGAAGGCACGTGTGAGAAATTACGATAATAATTTATTTTACACGCGGTTATTATAGTTATTATAATAATTACAACAATAATCGTTGTTCTGTAGCAATAAATTCAGCGAAAGTAAAACTTCTGGACATTATTATTTGATAACAGGCTAAATTTTAAACGAGTTCAAATAATTGGATATAAGAATATCTTAAGAATATCATTGATACTCTCAAAAAGAAATAGCACGTATATTTTCGGCCTCTATATAACTCCATCCTTTGTGTCCCATTGACATTAGTTGAAGAATAATTATTATGATATTATTCAGCTTCTATACATAATTGGTTGTATATTATTATACATGTTGTATATGTTCTCGTAAGATTTAGGATACCAATTTGCATCGACAAGTCTGTCTCTCGCCGTTACAGCCGCGTTACATTCTATCGCGGCGCGTCGGAGACCAAATACCCACGAAGATCATCGACGTCCCGGAGATTTACGGCGTGTCACGCGAGAGGTCGTCAGCCAAATTGTTTCACATTGATTTTCAGGTCGAGTGGCCGGTACGGCACCGCGGCCGCTGCCCACACGCGATGTCTCCGCAAACGCATTGTGGTTTCCAGGCGCTTATTTATGCACGGCCCGCCGTTTCCGCCCTTTCCGCTTGACGTTTAGGGCCGTTGACTCGCTTGACTTCGTCGTCATATGGCGAAGTCGCTCTGTCGATGCTCCACCGCTGTCACTTTCTCGGTCCGCAGACCTTTTATCGCAAACAAATCTTACGGATATTCAGTTTTACGATCTTTGCGATCGTACAAATTTTATTAATTTAAGACGTAGCGTGACTAAAAAAATTATATGCGAAATAACAGAGATCTTCTGCATAAGAAATGCAGATACTTATTAATGCAAAAATAAAATTACACAAGGAGAGTTCAAATTAATATTATAAATGCAATTTATTTAGAAGAGAGAGAGAGAGAGACAAAGAGAAATTAAAATGTAAAAAGTACAAAGTACTTTTAGTACGGTACTTTTAAATTGCATGCTCTAGACGAGCCTATATACAGAAACGTTTTCCTCGCGCGACACTATCAGTGTAAGAAGAATGTCCCATTCATACTTTTATACACCGTTTATGGACGCGTTATGCGCCGTATCAGTCTTATCAGCACTTCTAAGCCGCCTACAATTTATGCACGTGTATGCGCGTGTAGAGCTATCGGTAGAAAGGAAAGATTGCGACTGCAGAAAACGCTACTTGCAGTGCCACAATCGTGAATCTTAAGAATTCAACAAAATTTCGATAAATTATATACGTAAAGAAGATAAAAATATTCCAAATGCTCGAAATAAATTTTTTAAATGTAAACAATTTTCAATTTAACAAATATATAAATTTTTTAAAGTGTATATAGTTTTCAATTGTATACATATTTATCAGTTAAGATTAGAAAGACAATAAAATCGATCGCTCTTCTTTATATTTATTACTGCATGTTCCCACAAGAATGAACGAGACGAATCCATTCCGCTCGACGATACGTCCGAAGCGAAGACAAACGGTAACGGTTATCACCGCGAAATATCAGCTTAACTATGTTTCAAATGCCGCCAGAGGCGACGATATAGACACGCGCGCGCCGTTAATCCGCGAACATGCGCCGTTATTTCGCGAGAATTTGTCAAGCCTTCCGCGCGCGCTCTCTCCGCCACTCACGGACAGATCGCGTCGCTAATTGGATGCAAGATACGAAGCTACGTTTCACTAGGACGAATCCATTAATATCGCCTTCGACAGATGGGCTCGCGCGCAAACCCGGTGGTCCGACCGAGGGAGGATTTCTCGCGTCGTCATTAATCACTGAAACAGGAACCGCGGTTGCACGGGGTCGCGCTTAGAAAGCGCCTGGTTTCTCGCAAAGATATCGGCGCATCGTCGACCTCGCGATTTTCATCCCGTCGTTTGTAAGCAATAAACAGTGACAATTCAGCTGTTACCCGCAGGAATGACTGATTTGCACAGTCATTTGGGCTTGTTAGCAAACTCACGATCCCAAGCTCAATACACTGTTGACATTTACATACTACATCTACACATTCATATATGCGTACGCTCTTTTATATTTTGTACAATAAACAGTTGAGAAGTAGTCAATCATAGAAACAGCATAAAGTTAACAAACTGAAGTTCATATAAAGATTATGTTTATATATGTTAAACCATTTCATTAAGTCCATATGTTGAAAAATTCGATTAAGTTGAAATCATTATAAAAATTTAAGAAAAGATAATGCACAATGAATTCTATGTTTAGCATATATAATGCTATAAAACTTTAAGCCTATATATTACTAAGAACGCACGGGAATCGATGTACCATATATGCGTGCGTTGAAGTCTCTTAATCGTCCGATTTAGTCGTAGACCTGCTGGCAAATTCGTATAATTTCTACATTAAATCTTTAGCAATTGAACAGGATATGAATATTAAGTAAATGCTAAACAAAAGTAACGATTCTTTATCTTCTTGTAAAACATAGATAGAAATATTAAATAATTATTAATTGACAATATGTAATGATAGATGTGAAATGTAAAAATATCATTTTTATATCAATTATTATTATATGAAGTCTTACAAAATTATAAGAATTTTCTAGCTATAAAATTTATCTTTTAATACTTTTATAATGTAAGAATATCATTTGTAGGTAAATTTTCTGTGCACGAATAAAGTGAATCATCATGCCATCTACTGTATAACTGATATAACATAGGGAACATATAAGAGCTGTTAGCATAAAAAATTGTTATTTCTTGTTTATAAATATTTCTGCTAACAGAAACATATGTTAGTAATTAAAGATTTTTTAAGTATTATTTAGTTTATGTCGTAAATAAGGCAATTTCTATATATCAAGGAAGGGAAAATAGAAAAATAACGTATGGAACATTACATTACATTATATTTGTAATGAAAGATAATAATAATGGAATATTTATTTATTCTTAATATATATTGTTTGTATATATAATATATAAATAGATGCTTAATTCTACATCGAGTAAGGATATATCCTTATATATATTATTGGACTAATGCTGTAGAAAAAATAGCTTGTAGAAAAATTGTATAATCTTTATAAAATGCTCAGAACAACGGTGGCCATGTAAAAGGACCTAACACGAATTTTCAACTAACGTGATGCTATATAATAATTATTTTGATTTGTTCGTTCAACGAGATTCCAAGCTTATTACATATTACGATGATTTGGACGGATATTTTAAAAGGCCTCTCTCAGTCTCTTTTGCCATGAAATAAAAAATATTACCTTCTCATCGACTATCTAGTTATACATTATTCAAATTTAAGTAGAAAGGCGTTAATTGAACGTCAATTGAACGTTGTATGAATATAACAAATACAAAAACATAATTTCGCTTAGCGAGGTCTAAACTTTCTTTTAAGATTTTGAAAACGTTATTAAAGACAAATATGCATGTTAACATTAAAAGTACACATAAAAATCTTTAAAGTCAATGATAAAAACATATGAAGTCGATAAAAAGGTGAATTTTGCTTTCTCAGACATCCATTGAAACTTTTCGAGTGCATGTATTAAAATACGACTGGAGAACTTTGTGTTATTCTTAACAAGTTCGCGTGTTCTTACGTAAAAGTTTTACGAGTAAATGGAAATAGAGATTCTCCCTTACTTTGGTGGCAATAGATGTATACGTATTGCTTTTGCATATTGCGCTTTTCTTCAAGGCCACAAAAGTTCTATGTTTGGAGACTGCAGCTTTGCAAATATTCTGTACATCGACAAAACGACCAGCCAGCAGTATATCTGCAAGAAGCGCGTGAAGTATATGAAGATCAGAAATAGCTTAGATAATACGAAAACGTTATAAACAAAATTAACACTTACATTGTAAGACATCCAAAGCCAGTTGCATAATGTCGCGAATACAGAGTCCAGCTGAAGTAAAAACATTAAACAAGTGATATGAATTGCGACCTTTTATCGACTGATAACAGAGTCTTCGGTAAAATAAAGAGAAAAGGAATACTCACATAAATGTAATAACCGCCTAAGAGCCACAGTCCGAAGACTAACTGGAATAAGCAAACGATGAACCATCCGACGAGCCACGGCAACAACCATCCACGTACGCCTTCTCTTATGCCGTGAACCATTAACAGGGCGGATAAGATCAATAGAAGCAGATAAACGATAAAGACACCTCCGACAACTTGCATAGCTAAAAATCGAACATGTCTCTCATTTTTTTGAATAGAATAAAATATATTATAAAAGTTGAAAACTTATAAACCTATAAACTATAGTAAAGCAATAAAAGTCTTTGCACTTCATTTATACGAACACGTTTGTGCTCAATTCCAAACAACTCATAGCTAAATTTTTATTCGTTTAAACAATAAAAGTTCGACGTGTTCGACTCTCTTCAGTTTTCTAAACGTCAACTTCTTTTATTTACGACTACTGTGCTTTAATGTGATTAATATATAATTAAACTCATAATACAGTCGAATAATACAGTCCTGATCGATAACTCGAATCTCTATAACTCGAAAACTACTCGAATTTTTTCCTTTAAAAGCCATTATAATCAGAAAATTATAAACTCTCGTACAAAACTTCCGTAAATCGAATTTTCATATGTTAACTCTTTTTTACTCGAACTTCGAAGTATAAGTCGAAACTTCTATAACTCGAAGATTTTTATAGCTCTTCCTTTGAGATTCGAGTTATTGGAGTTCGATTGTAAAGCATTTCATTCATGTGATATGGTTGCGTTAGGGGTAACTAAGTATAGTTTTCAAAATCTCCGCAAAAACAAAATATATATTAGCTCAGCTTTTTAGAATTGACATCACTGTTTCTGGAGCGCTGTCGTTAGACACGGTTAATATCATACTTACATCCTCTTACATCAGCTTCGAATAACGGATTGTAGATCTGGGTGGAATCGCCACCAGCCAGTTGATAGCATATCAGCGTAATAAGCACTATACTAATTGCCTGCAAGAAAAGTAATTATTTATTACGTGTAATCTTAATTGTTAATTATATTCTGTTAGGTTGGACATACTTTAACATTGTTACTGCCTCTAATTTTATGGAATTTCTTAGCCAATTAAGAGACGCTCACCACTGTGTAGAATGCTATAGCCTTGCAGCCGGTCTTAACGCTGTTCGACCAGACGCACGGTGACCAACAGGATTCCAAAATCGCCATTGTTTACACTGGAATCAGAGTTCGATTGTAAGAGAGCGTAAAGCGCGCGTTAATATCACCGACCACGATGATGTTATCGAGCGGCCGTCACAAAACTTGGGCGTCGACGCGCACCAGAGTTACCAACGTAAATTCGCACGGAGGGAATTACTCTGGTGAAAGCTCTTTCGAGATTAAAACGAAATCGTGCCGATGCGCAAAATCAATTCTACATTCGAACAATCGCGTTAGCATTCATTTGCGACACTTGCTCGAACGCCGATTTTGAAGATACGTCAAAAGTGCACTGCAGCGCGCTGACAATTGATAGCGTTTTAGGCTCATGTTACACGAAGTGAAACAATTAATTCGAACGCGCATATTGAATTTTGTTCTGGTAAAATGGCCAAGCGCGTGTAGAATAATTAAAACACGATCGCGATTTTTAAACAAGACACGATACTTCTCGCCCGGCGCCGATATTGACGCTGAAACTCCGGATACCAGTCGCGCATTCTCCACTGTCATGGCACACGATGCGACGATGCAGTTCATGTCGAACACCAGCACCAAGTTGTTTTCAAAAAGCGTTCTTCTTTCACTTGTACTTACGATTTCTCGGGGGGTGCGAGCGAGAAAAATGATTTCAAATTGAATTTTTATCGCAAACGTCGACAGCCGCCACGGTCACCAAGATTCGAGTGCTCGAATCGCCTCGGGATAACAGCAGAGCCGACAAATAGTGCCATACACGCGTCGATGAACATACGTTTAATGGCGTCGTGCCATCATGAGAGACCCCCACCACTTTGAGAACAGGTCACGAAGCCGGCCGCTTCCTTTTCGTAAAGCCTGTATAACGCGTCGGTCTCTCAATGCTCCGAGAATGCCATGCACCATAGTATACCATGATGTATTTGTCGCAAGTATTTATATAACTAGTCCCTTATTAAGGAAGACTTTAAAAATTTTAAACTAGTTCTGAGTAATATTCTTGATAAAATCAAGTTCTTATTTATTATTTGCATATTAACTCGTGCAGTTTGTGTATCTTATAATTAATTTTTAATAGAAGAGAGATTTTATTTTAAGAGAGAGAGTGCAGAAGTGTATCTATTGCACTTTTTTACTTTTTTATGAAACCTACATTTAATTTATTATACAAAATTTCAATGTATCAAAATAGAAATAGAAATCTAGTATATATAATTAGTAAAGTACATAAAAAAATTGGAACAATTTTTATTTTTTATAAATAAGAATATTTTCTTTGTCAATTCGTTCAATAAGTTTATATGCTAATAAATCGAATCCGTCAGTTAGTGACACAGTGCGGCTAATGAATAAACGTAACCAGAAATCGCTGTACAGCGTCTGTGGCGCCAGGTTTAAAGTAACGTGTGTCGTCGTCTCATTCCTACTTTCTAGACATGATTATATTTGCGAGTATATTTAACAGTGTAATTATCCAAAAACGTATGTAAAATAAAAAAATTAGGAAATTAAATAAACGTTTAGATCTAAAGTTTAAAAATGAATGTCTCTGTCGGTGTAATAATTATTTTTTAATTTTATAAATTTATTTATAAATTTGAGCATGGATGAAAAGAATGTCTATTTTGTGTAATATAATTGTATCTTTATAAAGATACTCGTATAAGCACTGGAATTTATTAATTAACTTAACAAGCAGGTGCGACGAACGGAATGCAGTAGCGTAATCGCAATCAATATTTGCACAGCGATTTACTATCTATTAATATCGCAGTGCAAGGTCAGTCTGGGTAGAAATAGAAATGGCCACATTTATATCTCCTATTAAGCCGTACATTTGAAGCGCGACGTTACTTTATAATTTGCACTTCAAAGATCGCAAAACATGTTGAACAAGCAATAATTTTCATGATTCTTACATGATTCGTATGACCTATTTCAAAGTAATTTCTTTTGCCAATGGCCAATCTGAGATAGAAATTTATAGAAATTGAATAGAGAGTAAAGAAACTGGATTTCTAAGGATTTATAAATATATAAATAGACACTATCCTCCCTAAAGTGAACGAATTTTATGATTTGTAATAATCTTGAGATAAATTTGCTGCTGTTGTTCACGTTTATTACCGAACCGTATGCGGTGATTAACCCGCGGAAAATGTAGTGCAACGGTTTCGTATTACCTAGCCGCGGTTTCCGCGATGGGTCGCCATTTTGGTACCGCAATGGAAAACAGAAACCGGGTAGATTGCGATCGATCGATGATAATTCGATTGTCGAGAAAAAAAAATGGAGGTCGGATGATGCGGAAAATGTCCACGTACGCATTTTGTCGTTTTACGCGTGTTTCACGCTTTCACGAAAGACGATGTAGCTCAATCGAAATAAAATAAGTGAATAGTGGCGCGTAAAGAAAAAAAAATTGTTGAAGGGTCACGAAGATCAGTAAAAATTCTGGACAGACGCGTTCGAACGTTTCCTTTTGTAACCGACATACACGGGGATCAGAATGGTTTGTTGATTGGCCGTCATTGTCGGCCGGCCATGAGGAATTTCACGGGGCTCTATGAAATGATAAAATCCATTCACGCCGGGGAGGACAGTGCCTACATACGTCTATAAATCCTCACAGTCATTCGGCGCAACAACGAACGGCGTAATGGATCCAGACGTTCGTCGAGATAGCGGTGCTCTAAGACGCCATAGATCATCGACAAGCAGGATTAACGTCATTGGGATTAGCAATAAGTATAAGGTGCAGGAGGTATGTATATCCAGACGACGCGACGGAACGGATAATGCGAAACGGATCGTATCGGATAGCAATAACGACGAAATTATCATTGAATACGATTAAACTGTTATTACTAAATGCCATGCGACCGTCTCTTGATAATAACGTAGAAAATAGTTTTTTAAAAAATATACGAGTTATTTCGATGCGCATTTATTGGATGGCAAACCGCATTCTACTCCAGACATTTCTAAGAGTTCTAGGTCGATCATTGCTCTCTCGAGTAAATTTCTTTTAAATGAAACGACGCGCGCCATTCGTCAATATTCGCCCACCAATGGACACGTAACTTCAAACTTGCCTCTAATCCCGCCAACGGGATATCAGCGGCGCCCAAACACGCAAGAGATGCAGTCTCATAGTCTTCTCCCGATGCCGGCTAGTCGAGAAGCTATAAATACATGTGCATGTGCGCGTGTTATGCGTGCGCATAGATACAGATCTCTCCATATACAGTTCTCCATTCTTTCGTACCATTTCCTATGATCGCCCGCCCTACCGAGGGCGTTCGCAGGATTTTTTCTAGAGGGGGGCATGATCCAAATTTTTAATACGAACTACCGCGAGGAGCAAATGTCCAACGTTGTGTACCTGTGTTGTATTTTAGCTCTCTCACATTTGACAAACATATTTATTATTTGTAAAAATAAGAGAGCAAATTTTGAATTTTCTTATACTCGTTTGATTTCAAGGGGGGGGGGAGCAAATTCCCCCTTTGCCCCCTCCTCCCTGCGGATGCCCGTGCCCGCTACCGCACATCGGTTCCTGGCTCACGCGGCAGCTCGAAGCTTCCTCAGCATCCGCTGGACCACTGTAAACTGTCTCTCTGATTTAGACGTCTCGAACTCGGAACTACCATGCCGCTCGCGCGGCACTGTCAACGTTGCCATCTTGTCCGTGGAGTACTTCAACGGTGTCAATGGTTGGAATGAAGACAACTGTGTAGGCTGGCAACGCCGCGGAATTTTCAACCAACACCCGGCACGTGGCTCTTCTCTCCCGGTCAAATTGAGCAAATCGAAATAATCAGTAAACCCGGCAGCCATTCCGTCGCGCCGTCTCTGCTGATGAACGTAGATTTCAATGTATGCGTGCGTGCATGCAGCGTGTGTGCGATTGCTTATCCAACTTGTATACCGATGACTACTCGCAGCTTTCGGCGTTGGCGTTTCTTCAGAACATTTTGCATTAAACAATATTTAACGCCTAACATTATAAACAAGAACATTAATAGACACGGTATAAGAGACACGGCATCTTACTAAATAATTTAAAAAAAATAGGTGGCTAATTTAAAATTGTGATTGAAATCATAGTACATATAAATGTAGTTTATTGCAAAGATTAGATGCTGCAACAGATTCATATCGTTGAGAGCGCGTACAGACTTTAAAATATTATCTTTGTGATAAAACTGTTATCGCGCAATCTGTCTCGGTTGTTTAATTTTGCAATCAGCTGGTTTTTGGTACGGAAAATATTTTGGCGACGCATTATATTATCTGACGCAGGAATGCGCTATTTGTTTGATTACCGAGCCGAATTTGATGTAACTCCTCCTCGGAACTCGTAATTGCTCGAGTGAACTTGACGTACTCGGAGTACTAGAGTCACTCAAGTTGAACGAAGTATCAGCATCAAAGAGAGAGAGAGAGAGAGAGAGAGAGAGAGAGAGAGAGAGAGAGAGAGAGAGAGAGAGAGAGAGAGAGAGAGAGAGAGAGAGAGAGAGAGAGAACAGAGAAGTTGAGATATGCTGTGTTCATGTTAACTTTAATAATTTAACAATAAATCATATCGAAACTCAATATGATTTACCAATCTCGATTTAATCATAAAAAGATCATTAAACAAATAAAAATACAAATGTTAATTTGTGTTATAAGATAAGATGCGCAAAAAAAGATTTCTCTTTCAAAATATTCTTGAAACGCAAACTCTCTCGTGAAATATCTGCGAATGGAAACATGACCCTTCGCACGTTCAGCCAACGACGGTATGACGCCAGATAGATACGCGGTCTGACAATGAGTCGAGGAATTGATAACAGAACAAAGATTCGTATCTGGGGACTACAATCTTTGCAAGATTTAAATTTATTGCTTAAAGTTGTTTTCTTTAAGATAAATACAATATATTGAAAAAAATATCAAAATCAAGTATAGTAAAGAATTAAATATACGCAAAAAGACAATTATAGAAAAAAATTGACTATGCAATTTTTGCGACCAACATTATGGATTCTGACTTTAATAACTGTTTAGAGCTTAATTAATGTATATTTCAAAGAGAAATGATATTGAAAACCATTATCAATTTGTTACAATTAATTTTATTTACATTGTTAGACTTATTTTTAATTTCAATTTTTTATGTACACATTTTTTTGGAATTACGTTTGGAATAACGTGAAAATGTCTGGAAAATAATGCTTAATAGATATTAGAAAGCCTATAATTATAGTAGTGAATCAGCGGTTATTATTAAGTAAAAGTGTAGGTGTTAGTATCAAGACTGAAATATCGCATGTTCTGGATACCGATCACGTGCCCCGGGATCGCGTGGAAATCACTTTACTTCGGAAGCTAATAGTGGCGGAGGTCCACACAGTTACGTGACTAATATCTTAATATATTCTGCGAAATATTTAGCCGGCGTGGCGCGGGAGCAGCCACGCGATGCGTTGTTTGAATCCGAGATCTCTCCCGCCCAAGCGAAATAAGAACCTCAACTAAGAAGCCTATAGACGCACGGTCGTAATGAATTTCTCAGTAATACCACAGCTTTAAGTTAAAATCTACAAAAAATTCCCGTGAAATAAAACATTGCAAATAAAGATCTAACGAGAACAATATCTTTTTACATAATTAAAATTTTACAAGTTTCCGTAAAAGGTGATATTATTATATTTATATCAATTGTATTCGCACGGGATGAGGCAGGTAATTTGAACTGAAGCTACCTGTGCTTATGTAAAGTTTTCATGACATAACAAAACTCTTATTGTTAATGCTGAATGCATGGTCGG